TCTCCCAACTCTTCTCCCAAGATTTTGTCCGCAGGTTGATTTGGAGGCCAGTATACAACGGTGATGGTAACATTTTCAGTTTTGGGTGCCAATACATAGTACTGCAGAATCTTCAGATCAAGCTCATTTGCACCTTCTTTTGCAAGTCAAAAGCACTGCTGATATGCAGGGCAACTCCAACGCCTCTTCTTATTACTTCGTCACAGCTTAACACCTGATGACCACCTATTCGAAATTCAGAGTCTTGTATATCTTCGGTTAGCCACGTTTCAGTTAGTGAATTAACATCAGGATGTAGCTCGGTGACAAGTATTTTGAGTTCGTCGAGTTCATTATAAAGGCTTTGCACATTTCCATAGTAAAACTTGATTTTGTGGCGATTTTCACGTCGGGTTAATTGCACGGCCGTGTGACTTTCGTTACGATGACGGGCGGCCTGCACAGATAAGGCCTTTGTCTGTGGACAATTACCCCATTCCATATTTTCAGGCCCTTCACTCCTTTTCTTTCAAAGTGGCTAGGTCCGCCTTCAAAGCCATCCATGCCATTCTCTCCTTTTCCGTGTACCCTGTTTGAAACAAATATTCTTGCGGCCGGGGATTCCACCTGCCGTTCGTTCGAGCAGGAGATCCCTCTAAAGCTTACTCTTCAAAAATAGCTTTTACGGCTTGGTTTTCTCCCTTGAGAATTTGAGTTGTCTTTTCTGTTTAGTGGTATCGTGAATTTCCCATCCTCCCTTGTTATTTCATTTAAGCACTTCCGCAAGGCCTAAGTATAACCATCTGTTCTACATTTTGAGCTATTGTTGGTTAACTCAGGAAACCCACGGAGAATGATGCACTGCGAGCTATCCACGATTCCCAGAATGCATGGCCTCCCAAAAATTCATAAAAAAGTGCTTCCTTTGCCTTCTATCTTGAGTATGAAGAACTCCCTTATCACACCATTGTCAAATGGCTGTAAGAAAAGCTTAGGCCACTGCGAATTGACCTATATCATCGAAGCTTGAAAGACACCTTTGAGTTTGTTGAAGCTATAAAGAATATGAACGTTGGTGGAAGTAAGATGCTCTCATTGGACGTATTTTCAACTTTTACCAACCTACCCGTGGTAGAAACCATAAACTACCTCTACGACGTTATTCAGGACAATAACTATCAGATAGTTATGCCTATGAACACTCGTAAAGAGCTACTTACGCAATGCACTCCAAATGTACAACTCCTCTGCAATAGTCAATTTTACACACACATAGATGGTGTAGCGATGCGCTCATCATTTGGTCAGTTTCTGGCAAATGTCCTTATCGGAAAGATCGAGAAAATCAGTTTAAGTGATACCATCAATGATCTTACATTCTTCGGTCGATATGTGGATGATATCTCTTTCAGAGACCTTAACGCTGACACTGACGCCCTGGTCGCGAAGTTTAACAGCATAAACCCATCACTCAAATTTTCTGCAGAGACTGAAGTGGACGATGAAACTGCGTTCCTTGATGTTCTTTTAAAATGGGAAGATGATGGATCCATCCGGCGTAGGGTCTTCCAAAAGAAAACCTGGACGGGACAATACACAAACTTGCACAGTTATGTGCCCCTAAATATAAAACGAAATCTAGTGCAGGAATTAGCAGCTAGGGTACGACAGATCTGCTGTCCCGCATCTGCCGAAACAGAACTCCCACAGCTGCAGCACACATCTATTGGAAATGGAAATCCGGAAAGGTTAATCCTCAAGAATATTGACCAACGCTCCAAAAGACTGCCTTTCTTAGGCATTGCAACAAGCAATCTGGTCAGACGACGCCTGAGGATCGCTATCACAAGTGCTTTGGCAGCGGCGAACTTAGGGTGTTCTTCACGAACTTTCCCATCCTACGATTGGGGAAGTAAAGACCGGTTCTCTTTGAAGGCCACATCAGTGTGTATTTACTGCTTCACTTGCTTCCGTGGAGCAGGATACATTGGCCGAACAAAGAGACGCCTAGAAAAGAGTGTACGTGCACATTTACCGGCCTGGTTAAGTAAAGGTGAAACTAGACCGATCTCGAGTTCTATTCTCGCAGATCTTGTCGATATGAATCATCGATTCGATACTAATGAAACCTTTTAGGTTGTCTACCGGACACCAGCTAACATGTTCAAGGGCCTGCGCCAACGGATGCTTGTTACAGCCAAAGCGATGGCTATACTGCTTGCGACTCCTGTGCTGTATTGTCAGAAGACGCTGACAAAGCCCTTGCCCTTCCGCGGCCGACACCGACTCCTCGTGGCGATCGCCTTTTGCACCCACCTACTAGTGGCAGTTGCTCATCGAACACGCCGAACACGCCGATCTCGCCTACTTGCACAGACTGTCATCGTCCGCAGTGGTCACTCGGCACCCAAGTCAGACAGCTATTAATTTTTCCACATGTTCAAACTTTACTTGTTTTGTACAGTTTTCATTATTCCTGCAAAGGTTTGACCTGATGATGATTTGCTGAAAATATATGTTTTGGAGTAAAAAGCTAGCTCATTTTTATAGAGAGAGAAGTATAACACGTACAATTTTACCCTTTTCAACATTGCTCTATATACACCGGGCTCAGATAGATGAGGTACGACAGTGTGCAGTTGATACCGCGGGGATTTTATTATCAATTAAAAAATAAATCACGCTCAAGTCACTGCGCCAACCTGTTTGGAGCATAACTAAGGCATCATTAAAACTGATGGCTGAACTGTCGCGTGCAACAGCGTTAATTACCGGTTGCTCACAAACTAATCTGGGCGCTCGGCGACACAAAGGTCTATTAAGTGACTTTCAACGACTACTCCACTCGTGAGCACCTGCCTGTATCTGCTGGTCTGCGGCATCCGTACTGTGACAAACATCCTTTCAGTATAACCAGCGTATTCTTCCAATCACTTCCGTGGAGGAAAAGGAAGCTTAAAAGTGTATATTCCCATCAGTTATGCTTATTGTAAACATAAGATGTATGTCTTACCATTCAGATATTGTTACAGTATAGGAAATAGCACGGTATTATGCTAAGCTAATTCTAAAGCATGTTCTGCCCTTATTTAGACAGAAGACGTTGTACAAATTCTAAACTTATGCTGGATACTGAAGCGATTATAAAGCTAGTATGAAGACATAAAATTACACTACCTTACGAGATGAATGCAGAAAGACAGTACCCCGGGGCTGTGCGATCGTAAGGTGCACCCAAAAACTACAAGGAAGGTATATGGTGGACATAATCGAAATCAATGGTCGAACTATCATATACCTGATACTATATCGTCCTACTGCTGTCCTTAGCGTAGTACTTGTAGTGTGCTCTCACCTTACTTGATTCATCATTTCTACTTTTAATGGTACTTGCACTATCCCACTATCAGTTAGATAGAAATAACACTGTCACTACCACTACTATCAGTATTCTGTGGAATAAGAAAGTACTTGACACATTCAGAGTAGAGAACCTTTGAATTTTGCTGGTTACACATCGTGTTGATCGCTCTGATAGAATCTACTAAGCAGTCCCCAGGAAAGCAGACTATGCGGCTTTGGTCAAAATTTTGCGAGGGTTTATTTCCATAAAATTCTCACCATTACTATTTTATGAAAGATCTTAAAAAGTCGACATTGGTGATTAATTCCTACGTCTTTGTTCGGAAAAGCTAGAGCAAAAACATTAATCTCTATGGTCACCTAGATTACACGCAGAATGTGCCATCATTGCACTTATTTTGAATTGTGTCGGCTGCGCCCAATTAGCAAGCTTGTAGAAATTAACAAATGTCAATTCTTAATGTTTCAGGGATTGGATAAGCATTGGAAAAGAAGTCCGATGCTATCAGTTATTTCAAAACTCGTTCGATCTTTAAATTTTCTGCCGTTCTAAGATTCAGTTTTGGGCGTATGTGTTCATTCGTCCGCTTACACTGATTTCAACTTCTAGCTGTAGTCCGTGTGTTCTAAAATAGCATTAGATGATACTTTATCGGTGGATGAAATGTTGATGTTTTGTGTGCATAGTTAAATGTCATGCCTGTGTTTCGGCATTCGAAACTTTTCTTAAGGTCCTACGCTTCCTTATCGTTTATGCAATATTCTGGCAACTTGCGAAGCATTCTTCCTCGGTCAAGTCCATTGAAAATAGAAAAGTGTTATAATAGGTGAAAAGCCTTTTGTGATACATTTGTAATTATCCCGCGTTTCCAAATCATTTTATCGCAATGAGTTCCACTGCAACAGAGGAAAGTGAACTTTGCGAAGGATTGGAGTTAAAATGGTGCAATCCAAACATATTTTGATTTCAAACTTTCCAGAATGGCAGCACATTCTAATGGTAAGCTAGTGCTAAAATGATGTTAACTCGAAGGAGGAAATACATGCAATCAAAAGATACCTACAGACAATTAAATCTATAATGACACTTTGAGCACGATGGACTACGTACATATTATTGAGTAAATATTTGCAGTTAGTTCTACCTAGCCTCTACGGTTTCCTACACCCGTACACCAAACTATATCAACATTATGCACTTACCAGGCATTTGGAAACCCCTATTTAAGCTTTCTGACGTTACTGCCGATTCATGTGGTAAAAGCTATCTTTATAACTTTTATTTTGGCTAAAAAATAAAACTAACATTTTCTGAAACACGTAACTGACACTAAAATAGCGACTAATATCTTGATTTTAACTTTTGCATAAATGTGAACCTGCAAATCTTGGCACAGTTAGCAGTAGACTGTGTTTGTTTCACGCAGATATTTGGTAAATTATCGAACGGGGAGGGATTCTTCGAGTATACTAGAAACACTGTTTCCTTCTAGGAAGTCAGAACTTCATTATTGGAGTCAGATTAGCGAACCTTTGCAGTTGCGTTGCTAAACATAATCCTCCTCAACATGGTATATGCTAAAATGTATTTGACAAGCGAGTAGATAAACAGTCATTGGACAGTGTTTCGAGGGATATTATCCTAAATTATACTCTGTCTAATAAGTTTATGAGTGATCATTCAACCACGGTATTTTTAAGAAGTTTATACGTTGTTGGACTTCTCTTAATACTTATTTGAGTCATGTCAGTATGCGATGCACTTAAACAAAGAAAGCTTCGGCTGTGAATGCATGCTTGGGCTTGGGTTTACTGCTGATTACAATGCAATGTAAGTAACGCGTTCAAAGTTTAAACAGACCGTGCTTATGGACTACGCCTCAGCGGGGTTTGTTGCCTACTCCACTGGCCTATAACTGACAAATGCTCAATACTTTCTTTGGGACACATTCCGTCAGTTGGTTCGTTTTCTGAACAGCAACGGCTGCAGTTTTACATAGGATAATCCTATTTTGAAATCACTGAAATCGGCTTCTACCCAAATCTAGCCCCGTACACACTGCCATTCGAGGTCATATTTTGCCTATAATTTTCTTTAATTTTAAAAATTAAACGCTTAAAATGAATGCGTGTGACTTACCGGCTGCGGACAGTAGAGTGAGAATGAGAAAACAGTTCATCATCTGCATGAGTTGCGCTCTAACAAAACATTATAGATTTATCTAATTGCCCCCATTAATGTGATTCAGACCATCGAATGAATGCTGCCAAAGGTAAACTTTTGGGTGATCTATTAGCCGGTGTGAAAGTGTACCCACACTACTTTCCGCAGCCGGTAAGTCACACGCATTCATTTCAAGCGTTTAATTTGTAAAATGTTATCCTAGAATGCGAATAATTAGGTTAAATTATATTTTACTAGGACTCACTGTGGGCAGCGAACAAAGCGTAACAAAGTTTTCCGGGGCACTCTCAGGGATCGAGTATATGGATGCCGTTTTGTTGGTAAGACTGTCATTACGTCTTAGTAAGCCATACTAGTATGCTACATGTAAAATTATAATTTGTG